AGACTTGGTGATTTACCTCGAAATGTTTTTTTTATTTCAGTTTGTGCAAAAGCCCCAAGAATGGCTTCAGTGTTATTTAATAATTTTAATGAAGAAAATAGTAATATTAAATTAGTTGATGCTTGTATGAGATCTTCCTCTGCTCCTATATATTTTGATTCTTATGAAGGGTATCTTGACGGTGCTTTATTTGAAAATAATCCAGTCACTTGTGCATTTCCTGTACTTTTTGGTAGAAATGGTGGAATTAATTTAAAACCAAAAGATGTGGTTTGCTTTTCTATTTCTACTGGAGCACCAAATATGCCTTATATTGACCAAAATGAATATCAAAAAGCTGGATTCTTAAAATGGGCACCAAGAACTCTTGACTTATTCCAATATGCAAGAAGAAATATGAGTACAGTAATTGGTCATGAATTATTAGGTGAGAGATACTTTAGACTAGATCCAAAAATGCCAAATAATTTACGTCTTGATAGAATTTCTGATTGTGATAAAATCATTGAATGTGGTAAAACCATTGATATTACAAATCTTAAAGAATGGATAAAGAAATATTGGATGTAATTCATTTTTTTTTAGTTAAAGTCAAACTTATAAATCATTAAAATTATTAAATAAATCATTGAATTAACTACAAATAATTATAAAAATGAGGTATGATTTGTTATATATTTTTATGAAAAATATTCTCTAAATAATTGTACAACATCACCCATTGTAGCTCGTTTATTTAGTTCTTTTTCTAAACACCTTTCAATTATATCTTTTAATTCACTTGAAAGGAAATCATTACCAAATTCTTTTTCTTGTTCATAAGCAGTCATTAATAATTCTTTTGATTTATAAATTTTCCAGTTGATTACTTGAATCATTGTTACTCCAAATGCAAAAACATCTACTTTTGTATCATATTTTTCATGTTGAAGAAGTTCTGGTGACATATAAATTGAAGTTCCTGTTTCTTCAGAAAATTCTTCTTTATCTTTCCGTTGGATACTAAATGTTCGTGCCTTTGAAAACCCAGCGAGTTTAACATTAACTTCCATTAATGGTTCTAAAGAAATACCATAAATATTTTCTAATCTTACATCTCTATGAATTCCTCCATTTTCATGCATATAAAATAATGCCTTGGCAACATCAAAACATATTTTTGCTCTAATTTTTTCAGATGGTATTTCTCTTTCTGAGATAATTTTATTTAATGGACCAAGTTCATAATAATCAAAAATTAAGCATTCATGATGAGGTAAATGACATGCTCCATAAAAATAACAAATTGTTGGGCATTTCATAGACTCAAGAACCTTTACTTCTCTTTCAAATAATTGATGATCTTCATTAGTACGATAGTCAATTATAACTGGTTTACCACGACAATACCCTCTCCAAATCATATCTTTGTATTCATTAAGTCCTAAAAATTCTCTCTCATCAATATCACAATTATCAATATAATCACTTATTTTTGTTGAAAACTCTATCTGGATTTTTTGTTTTTCAATACCTTCTTTTTTACTTTGTGCTACAACATAAAGTGTTTCATTGATTTTAGAAGTACATAATGGTGTCATTCTCAATGTAAAATCATGAGCTTCATTTGGTTTAAGTTTATAAATTGCAGGCACTGGTTCAAGTTGATATTTGTTTGAATTTTTTCCTTTTTCAAAAGAAATAGTTATTTCTTTTTTACCAGTATTTGCAAGAATTAAAGTATCATTACATTGTTCATTAACATTTAATTCTACAGTACTTTCATTTTCATTAGAAAATTTAAAATTACATTTGTTAATAAGAAGATATTTTGAACCATCACAGACTTTTAATTGATTTTTAACTAATTTGAAATATCGTTTCCCAATGCTCTCTTTTTTTGCAAAGATAAAACTCATTTGTTCTTATTAGAATGAACACTTACAAGTTCTTGTCTTTTCATCCTAAAAGTGATTATTTCATGAAAAATAATTCCTAAAATCTTTCTTTTTTTCTATTTTCTTCTACATTTTTCTTTAAACTTTCATGTTTTTATTTTTAGTTTTTTTTCTATTTTTATCTCATAGAATATCATTTTTCCAATTTTGTTTACCTTTGAGATTAGTTAAATTAATAAAATACTAAAGAATATTATTAAAAATTATTATCTAAAATAAAACAACCCAATTCAAAGCAAAAAGCGGTTAATTAATTTAGAAACAAAACAAAATAAATTCTAAAAATAATACAAATATAAAAAATTTATTAACTGTCTGAGATAAAAATAGAAAAATTGAATGTATTATAAAAACACACAATCTATTAACATTCCTTTTAATTTAAAAAAAGTTAATTATTTATGAAATTTTTTTCATACAAATACTAATAATAAAATGTTACTGAATCATTTCTTTTTCATAAATAAAGAAATGACTAAAACAAAAAAAGTTATTAACGTTGTTTATTTTTTTTTTATAAATTAAAGATGTTTAATAGTATTATGTACAAATTCTACAGAAAAGTTTTAAATGACTTTGGATAATGAAGTAAAAGAATTAAATTTTGTTTATTTTAAAAATATAAAAAAGTTAATAATTAAAGATCCTTCAAAAATTTTTATTTCTCATTATAAAAAATAAAATACAAAATTTTTTTTAAAATTTTTTTTTATTTTCATTAATTTTTGTCATTTAAATAATGTTATTGATTGATATTTTTATATTTAATTCTTTTTAAATTTCATATGAGAGAAAATACTTTCCAATAAAATTTATAGAAATTTCAAGATAATCAACAATAACAATAGTGTTATTAGATAGTTATTTGTTTATTTGATTAATTATAATAATTGAATGAAATGCAATTACTTTTCCTTTTTTAAATTTTAAAATAATTTTTTAAAAAAAGTTAAAAAAAAATTAATTAGATTCAATCTTATCATTTAAACTACTTATCAGTTTATTATAAGTTTCAATAATATGCTTTGTTTGACTTCCAATCCAAAAAATTTTGTTACATTTGGAACAAATCCAAAATTCATTAACTTCATTATAAACACTTTCTAACACTTTATCTTTAATTTCTTTTTTATCTTCTACTTTCTTATTTTTACCACCACAAACAGAACAACACATTTCATTAAAATTTAGTTCATAATCTAATGGAATAATTGTATGTAATGAAATTAATTGATTTATTGGAGTGTCTTGTTTAATTTTTACAGCATGTGGAATTTCTTTCCCTTTATATTGTAAGACTTTATGTTGACGTTTAGATTTATCAATAATAATTTCGTACATTTGTTTGTCTCCTGTCAATAAGACTCTTCCTTCTTCTAACGCTTCTATAATGAGGTATTTATCCATTACACTTTTACCATATTTCTCTTCATAGTCTTTACTTCCTTTACTATCAAAACCAAGTAATCGAAGCCAAGTACATAATTTACTATGCATCTCATCCACAAGAAACTTAATATTTCTATCAGTCATATGTTGAATAACTTTTAATTGTTTTTTTAATTCTCTTTTTTTATTGTTTATTCTTTGACTCTTCTTTGAGGTTTTTTTAATTTAGAAGAAAAAGGATAAAATGAATAAAAGAAATTGACTAATGTTCAAATAATATTTCATTTTTATTTTCTTTATCTTCTTCTTATGTTTTGTTTTGTCTCTTCTTTATTCTTTCATTTTCCTAATCTTATCTTTCATAACTCTATTTTATTGTCCTTTCTCATAATTTCACATTAAACTTTATGAATCTTAAATTTTCTTCGTTTAATAATCAGGTTATTTATTTTTTTCTGGTAGTATATAAAAACATTATCTATTAAACCAATACCTTAGAAATAAGACATACATTAGAAACAAATCTATTGATGAAGTTGAATAAGACATTTCTTAGTCTGTAAATATATTTATTACTTACCCTTTTTTAATCTCATTTTAGTTACTTAGATACTTGTTCTTTTTATTGTTTTTAAAGTACCACCACCTAAACAACCATTTCTTACAAATGTGTTAAGAAATTAAATTTTGTAAGAGATAATATTTGTATTATAATTTTTACTTGTTTTAAAAGAAATGATTATTTTACAATTACATAAACAAATGAAACAAAAGATACAATAACCAAAGTCTTTGTCTTTATTTTGAAAAAAAAATGACAGAGAGCAAAAAATCTTTATTGAGTTACAGAAAGAAAACAAACTATAACCAAGTGGTATTTTTATACCTCATAAACATAAAAAATTATTTTTATTTATTTTACAGAATATCATCGAGATTCGAAGATGGCACGTCAGAGACACCACACGAAACCCTAAAATAATCCCATGCTTCGAATCTCCCAGTTATCGTCTGGTCATGACGTGCCTTTGGTGAGATAATATCTATTCAACACTAACTGTTTATTATTATTAATATTTATTAGAAGTGATTATAATAAAAGATTATTATTCATTAAGGTGTATTGTTATTCATTATTAATTATAAGGATTATTATTTACTAAGGAGGTATTATGTATTAAGAATTATCATTTATTAAAGAAGACGCATATATAATTGATATTGTTGCACAAAAATTAAACATAATGATATTATCAAGGAATAGGGTTTCTTTAAGGGGTGTCGAAGGTAAAAGGAGATGAGCTATAACAGTAAGTTATGGATATACTCTCCTTAAAACAACAATATAAAGAATGAGAAATATTATATTACTCATTAAAATCAAAATAAAAGTCAGGCAGCAACTTAATTGAGGAACCATTTAAGTCGAGCATGCTTGCAAAAACTTTATTTCAATAGAAATAAAGCGTGTTGAAGAAACTGATTCGCTCACTTCTCAACATGATGAAAAACCTAAAAAATAAGGTTAATCATAATTGATTTCTTTTTTTTTTTTTATTTTACAGAATATCATCGAAATGGATGATTGAGTGTAATTTAGAAAAGAAAAATGAATAAGTAAAAGATAAAAATAATAATATGAAATTTAATTAAAAGGCTATGTAAACAAGGGATTTAAATCCACTGAAGAGCAATAAGATGGTTAATTTTTAAATCCATAGTAAAATATTGTTGTGGGTATTGAATTGTTCCATTAATCAAATCATAATTTTCAAAAATATCATCTTGAACATGAATGTAACCATTTGTTTCTAAAGTAAAAGCATTATCAATTTCAAAAACATGGAAATCTTCAGAACAATCAAATAAAACAAGAGGGTTGTTATCATTACAATGACCTAATGAAGTTTTTTGTAATAAAGCAGTATTTCCATAACTGTCAAAAACGAATAAAATGAATTCTTCACTTTTTATAACAGTTCTATGAGTATTTATATATGGGATTAATGTTTGATCATAACAACCGAAAATATCTCCAGATTCTGTTATGACAAGAAGCATAATATTTTCTTTTCCACAAATCTTAGCATTAAGTTCTCTTGAAGACAATTCATCTGAATTAGAAGAATAAATAATATGAGAGTCTCTTTTTCCAGTCCAACTTTTTAATTCATTAATTTTTGCAGCTCCAAAAGTATTTTTTACGATTGGAGATGAGATAGGATTTGTCATAGGAAATGTAAGAGAAGAAGAAAAAGAGTAATTATCTGATTTAGGACATCCTTCTAAAGCAATAAAAATTGGATCAGTTCTATTACTAGGAAGTATTCGTTTTAATTTCTTATCTTTTCTAATTAAATCTTTTGACTCTTGAAACACACAACTTTGAAAACGTTTTAATTTATTTCGGGGATGAATATGATCAAAAGTTTGTCCAGAAGAGTTAAATGAAGTCATTCGGTTACGTGCATTATTTGAAGGAATAAAACTATCAAGATCACTTGAAGATTTATTCAAATGATATTGTCTAGTAGAAGAAGAAGTAGAGTTTTCAGAGTTTTTATCCAATGTATCAATTCCATCCATATCAACTTCAAACTGTATAGGAGGATCAAATTGCATTATATTAATTGGTGTAGCTTGTAATTTACGTTGTTGAGAGACTTTATTACCCATAAAGAAGAGTAATAATTAAATGAATTGAAAGTTTATACAATAATATTTTTTTTTTCATTAAAAAAAAGAGTCAATTAGTATTTTCTTTTTTTTTCTTATTGGTAATATCTTCTTTCATTTCCACTTCTCTTTTTGAGTATTGCTGTTGATAACGAAATTCTTTCTCTTATACTTAAGTAAAAATAATTTTTAAGAATCTTTCGAAGCATTATGAATTATCTTGTTTTATTTTTTTGTCAAAGTCTATTGGGTGAATTTCTATTTGATTCTTATAGAAAACAACTTGAATTTAAGTATTTAATTTAGAATTTATTTTATTAAAACGTTAGAAGGTTTAGAACGAGATTCGTTACAAATTCAAGAAACTCATTCAAATATTTTCCATTGCAAATACACGTCACTTAATTTCAAATTATTATTAATAATTTTTGAGTAAAAAATTCATGATTTGAAGACATTATTCAAATCAAACAAAAAAATTAGTTGTTTTCTAGAAGAATGGAGGAATAAAAAATTAATAAAAAAGAGAAATAGTAACGAAGAGAATTAAGAATTAAGTAATTAATTAAGTGTTAATAGATTTTTCATCTATTCTTCCTAGTTTAGGGGAGATTAATCCCATCTCTTCGTTGTTTAAAAAAGAGTAATATTTTTGTTAAACATATCATTTTGGTTTTTCTTGCAAATTGAGAAAATCACTTCTTTGTTTTATTTTTTCCTATTAATGTCTTCTCAAACTTCTTTCTGCTTATTCCTTCTTTTTATCTTCTTCTTTGAATTCAAACTTAATTTTAAATAATCTCATTTTTCTTTATTTTATGAATGAGAGAAGAGACTATTTCATTCCCACTATATTATTATGTTTAATTTTCTTTTAGTCATACCCACACTTCAGTAGATTCTTATATTACATCCATGTAATATTCTATCATAATATCTTGCTCCACCCTTTGCAGTTTTACCTAATACATTTCTAATTCAAATACACTGTCATAATCAGGTAATAACTGGGAGATTCAAAACATGAATTATATTAATGTTTGTATTTGGTGTTTCAGACATGCCATCTTAGTTCTGAAGAATATGAAATAATAAAATAAAGGAAAGTCAAGAAAGAAAGACACAAGAGTAAGAAGTAAGAATATTTCATAAGACACATTCCTATAGTCAAAAGATATAAGGGATGGTGAAATAAGTTAATCTTGCTGACGTCACAAGTGTGCAATTAAAGATAGTACTGACAAATAGTAACGAAGAGAATTAAAAAAAAAAGTAGTTTAAATTTTAAATAAAAAGATATTTTTTTTTATTTTTTAATAATAAAGAAGTATTAAATAATAAAGTTTTTTTAATTAAAAAAAAAAAAAGAAATCTAAAAAAATGAACAATGATCAATTTAGACAATAACCTTAAGTTGTCTCATTTTAGTATAAGCGTCTTGGATTAATTTCGTTCTAATTGATTCATCTTCAATAAAAGCAGCTCTAAAAGAATTCATAATTAATTCTACTATTTGTTCATTTGAGAATCCAAATAAATTAGTAAATAATTCATCTTCACCGCTTAAAGAACAAGAACTAACTGTGGTGTTATCAGTATTAATAGTACAAGGAATTCCTAATTCCATTAATTGTAAAATTGGATGATCTTCCATTTTATTGATAGCTTTAGTTTGAATATTACTAGTTAAACAACATTCAACAATAACTTTATTTTCAATAACGTTTTTAATTGTTTCTTTATTTTCTAATAATCTTACTCCATGTCCAATTCTTTCTGCATGATTTTTAATTGCATCATCAACACTTTCATATCCTGCTGCTTCTCCTGCATGAATAGTAATATGAATTCCATGATCAAATGCATATTGACAAGCTTTTTTATGTCTTGATGGCATAAATCCATTTTCTGGACCTGCAAGATCAAATCCAACTACATGATCATTTTTAAATTCTACTGCTAATTGTGCTGCTTTTAATGATTCTTCTTCACTTAAATGTCTCATTGCACATACAATTAAACGTACAACAATACCATATTTCTTTTCTGCTTTTTTAACTCCAGCAATACAAGCTTCCATTACTTCTTTCATTGATAATCCTTTATTTGTACTTTGAATTGGAGCAAATCTAAATTCTACATAAGTACATCCATCAAGATATGCATCTTCACAGCATTCAAACATAGTACGTTCAATATTATCTTTTGTTTGTAATACTAAATTAATAATATCAAAAGCTTTTAAATATTGAACAAGAGACTCACAATCATTAGTCATCATTACTAATTTATTTAATTCATTTAAATCATATGTTGGTAATTCTATGTTTTGTTCTTTAGCTATTTCAATAATAGAACTTGGTCTAATACATCCATCATAATGACGATGTAAATCAGCTTTTGGCATTTGTTTGAATAAGTCATGAGTAATAGTTGTAGTCATTCTTTTGTAATTTGAAATTCCTTTATTTTATTCTTTTCCTTTAAGTAGATTATTTCTGTTTCTATTTTATTCTTTATTCTTTTAAACGGTTTAATATCTCTTCAAATATTAAATGGAAGAAACTTCCGTTTACTTCGTAAGAGTAAAAAGAATGTTTAGATTACAATGAATTTGGTTCTAATAAAAAAAAGAAACTCTTAATACTTCGGTGTCAAATGTTCAGAAGAAAGAAGAAACTAATAGAAGACATAAACAAAAAAAGAATAATAAAATAAAAGAATCAATTAAAAATAAGAAAAAATGTATTATTTGTAGAAATGAAAGAAGATAATAAAAATATATTCATTCATCTGAAGAAGAAGATGAACTATCAAATGGATTTATTTCAACATCTTTTTTAAAATTAATAACTACTGGTTTTGTTTGACTTAAACGATTTATATTTCTATTTATTAATCCAAATGATGAAGGAGAACATGAAACAGATGGACTAAAATGTGATATTTTTGAATTAACTGTTCTAATTTCACGTTGTTTTACAACACAAAATAAAATATCATTTGATTGTAATAAATAATTCTTTTTTGAATATAAATGATATTTTCCATGTTTTTGTTTTAATATTCCAAGACATTTTGCATTTTTTTCTAACATAAATTCAAAAATTAATTGAAATGGATAATTTACCATTTCAGGAGGTACTTGAACACTAACAACTGAGACATCACTTGTTACTGTAGAAAAGTCAAGCCATACTCTATTATTAAATTTATAACGAACCATATTACAAATCATTTCTGGTGCATAACAATTAGAAAATGTTGTTGCAAAATCCTTAACAAATCTTTCACTTTCTTGTTTTTCAATTTCACAAATTATTGGTATTTTTATTTTAGGTGTTGATTTCATTTTTACTTCATTTTCTGTTTCTAATAATATTTTTTTCTTTTCTATTACTGATTGTACAATTGTTGCTATTATTATAACATCACTTTCATCTTTTCCAAGTCTATCACTTGGTAAAATCATTATTGTTGTTGATTTCATAATATTTAATTTTTCATAAAATGTTTCTTCATGTAAATTTCCAATTATAACAAAAAAATTTTCAATATTACTTAATACTTTCCAATCTGCTTCAATTTCTTTTAAATCTCTTACTGCTATTATTAATAAATCATCATTTCGTTCTCTAAATTTTCTAAGAATTAATTCAACTCCACGATGATATCCAACAACTAATTTATGATATGAACTTGTTACTTTATTAATAATACAACTTGACATAACTTTCTTTTTATGAAAAGTTTGTTGTTGGTTTTTAATAATTTTTGTTGGTTCTTCTTCTGAAATAAAAATATCAGAATTAATAACTGATGATATTTTTTGTTCTTTAATTCTTTGATATTTACTTTCACTTGAAATAATAAATATTCTATCTTTTGCATCTAATTGTTTTGAACAATTAAAATATTCAATTCTATCTCCTGACATAATTCCAACAATAACACATCCTAATTCATTCATAATTATTTTTTCTACTTCTGTTCCAGTTTTACCAATAAAATATTGTGGTGTTTTAAAATTTCTTAATAAATTAATTTGAATTTTACGTGTTTTAATTGAAAATAATGACCTCATTACATCAATATAATGTGGAACACACATCTCACCAGCTAACATTAATCTAACATATTCTTCACATAATACTTCTGCTCCTAATGTTTTAAATACACTAAATAAATCAGGTTTTTTAATATAAACGAATATTGGACATGAACATATTTGAAATAATGTTTTACATCTTAAAAAAGTAAGTTGGTCATTTCCATCTGATGTTAAAATAACTTGTTTTGCTTTTTCTGAATTAGATTGATGTAAATCAAATTCATTTTGTGCGTCTCCATTATAAAAAAAACGTTTATATTTTCTTTTTGATAATACACGATAATCAAATTTAGGTAATAATGCTACCATATCACTTTTAATTTTAGGAATAAAATATGGAAGTAAATGTGAATCACCAGTATAAAGAACATGTTTATTAGCATAAAATAATCGTGATTGTGATCGTTGATTTAAAGCAGTAATAATTTGACCTAGTCTCATTGGAAATATAAAAAAGAAAGCTAATATATACAATGTACAATAAATTCTTCCAAGACTAGTTTGTGGATACATATCACCAAATCCAACTGTAACAACTGTTACTACGCAAAAATAAAAACAATTATGAAAATGATGAAAACTATTTGATGGATTAAATCCTTCTAATAAATGAAAAATAGAAGCAGAAAAATAAAGTAAAGACAATAGAAATACAATAGTATTTGATATTTTATCTACAATATGAAATAATTTTTGATTTTCACCAACCCAAAAATATACTAATGCTTCAGAAAGTAAACAATCAAGATATAATACTCTAAAGAAACAAAGTGAATAAACATGACTATGATTTTCCCAATTATGAAATATTGATTCTTCTGTAATAACATAATAAACTAATGGTATAAATGTAATAATAAGAATAGATAATGATATTGGAAGCATAAATCTTTGAATATGTAAATTTACAATACATTCATACATCCATGATATTAATAAATAACAATTTACAATAAATTCAATATATAATAATGGTTTCATTTCTTCTGGTTTATCAAAATATGTATCAATAATATTAAGTATACATAAAAATAAATTCATTAAAATATCAACTACTATTACAATTCCTGTTACATACGATTTTCTTAACCATCTAATAAATTGAATCGTTTGTTCTTTAAATGGTTTATTAATTCTTGTTGCTTTATTATTATTTGATTTATTTTCATTTTTATTATATGAATCAAATCCATGTGCAACAGTTGATTGAATGTTAATATCATCAATTCCATTTGTAATCATTTCAATCTTACTTCCATTCATATGAATTTGATGATCTTTAATTTCTCTTATTTCCTTCTTTTGTTTTTTTTTTTTTTATTTTTTTTTTCGTTTTAAATTTACTTCTTTTTATTATTCTTTTTATAAATACAAATTATTTTAAAATATTTTAAAAATAACTTGGTTTATAAAAATATTGGAATTTACTTCCTTTTTTTCGTATTAAATGAAACCAAAAAAGAAACCAAAATAGAAAATATTATTCATTGAATAAAAAAATTATAATAACAAAAAAAAAATATTTTCACTCTTTTTTTCTTATTTAAATTTTAATTTTAATTTCAATTTTTTTTTATCAAAAATATTAAAAAAAAAAATCA